AGAATGGTTTCGGATAACTCTCCATTCTCTTTCCAGATGCTTCTGTCAAACAACGACAGACGCCGGTTCTTGATTTCTTCAGACGGGACTCTCAGGCAGGTCGACTCCAAAATCTTTTCATTCTTTATTCGATTGAACCATAGCACTTTTAGAATGTTGCGCAGCGTTTGAAAAGGGCTACTGTTTCAAGGCTGTACATCAGGACTGAGAAGACGGCGGCTTTCAATATAGCGATCTTCATCGCTGCCCGGACAGATCGGTTTTGCTACACTTTAAAAAGTCACCTGAAAACCACAGATGCAAACTGTAATGATCGGCCTACTTCTATATCGGAGTTTACACTTCCTGTCGATGTACTTGGAGTTTTTGACCTCCTAGATGGTGGTTCCATTCCACTGAATCTTTGGATCGTTAGTCGAGTCGGGTGTTCGCAAGATCATTTTGGTTGGATTAACCTCTAGGTCTACCGTCAATGTCAACTTGGGCGCGCTTCTCCAGTCAGTGCTAGTAAGCCGTCAACGGAATCGCTCAGCAGTACAGTGTCATCAGCATTCTCGAGATCTGTTATATCTTCAGCTGATAGAAAGTCCTTCGCAGCTGTTCATGACACCGCTCTTCCGCATCACATAATCCACCATCATGTTGAATAATAGAGGTGAAAGCTCTTTTCCAGGGGTCACTTCACTTGTTGATGAGAAACAAGTCCTACAACGACTTTCTTGCTTTGATGGGGTTTTAATTACCTTCATACAGTCCTTTCCGCCGGCCAATGATCTCTGCGGTACTCCAGTGTGCGCCAGAAGGTCTGATGGTGCACAGACTCGAAAGCTGCACCGAAATCGAGAAATGCTCCATTCCAGGATAGGTGCAGGCTCCTTCCCCGTTCTATCATCTTTTCTAATACGGTGGTGACATCCGTACATGAGAGTCCAATTCGAAATACTTGATTTGATCGAAGCGAATCGACAACTACGTTTTTCAGTCGTCGAAGGAGAATCCGCACGAATACCATTTCCAGAACAGGCAGAACCGTCATACCGCAGTAGTTAGCGCAATCAGAACGATTCACACGTTTAATATGGGAATGATTACGTCCTGCTTCCATTTCTCAGGGATTTTCGACCGCCAGATGCTGTCAATAACCATATGGACTCAGTTCAGTAGGGTTTAGTCTGAGTACTTCAGAATTTCGTGCCCACAGTATTTCAAACTTCGACATATGGCATCCCGGATTTCATCTTTGATGGAACAGAGCAGTCAATTTCCAGTTCTTTCCGGTCTTCTAATTCTGTTTCCAGGTCATTCACTGGAGCGGGCCAGCTTAGGAGCTCTTCACGGAACCCATCTCCTCTGACGGCTACCTGATTTTGGAAGCGGCTCGCTGAACTTGCGAATCACATGTTAAGGGTTTATGACTACGCCAATGGTGATGATGCTGATTTTTATGTACAACGTCTTTCAGTGCTTCTTCAAAGATGCCTGTTTCAGCTTATGCGCTTCGAAGGCTATCCAGTCTTACTTGTCACTGCGGTGATTTCTGTTGACTATTTCCACGAAATGTTAATACTCTCGCTTCTTCGTTTGTCCAGGGTTCTATAAAAACTCCTGTTCCGCAGCGTTTCTTCTTCGGCGAAGAGTGAAGAATTTTGCCGAGACCCAGGATGCTTCGTCTTTTTACTTAGGCCGAGTATATTTGCTACGGTGCCGACGATACCCTGTTTGAAATGTTGGTATAGCAACTCGGAGTCATGGTAGATCGTGTCAGTTATAGCACAAATGTGCTGTTGATCTTGTCTTGGAACGCCGCGCAAGTTTCAGGATCTCTTAACTCATGTTGAATCTTTTAACTCCTGGTGTCGAATCATGAGTTCTCCTCATTACGTACTGTTCTCCAGAACATGGCTAGTTAGAAGCGGAGCTTGGCGGCTACGATTAAGTGGTCCAAGCCAATGGCAGCTCCGCATCTTGTCCGGTTGTCGTGAAGGGCACATCACTAATTCGTGCTGACTAGTATGTGGCCCAGCCTGGCTCCTGAAGCGGCCATCTGGCGCTGTCCGTCCGGTCTGACGGTGGAGAAACGGGGTACCGCCAAAGACAAAGCCGTGCATGGAACAAAGTTCTAACAACACAGCCGCTGACAATTGTTATTCAGTGTACAGCAGCCATGGTGGTCCATCACATGATGTCAGGTAGAATTGTCCCTGCCGACCTGCGCGTTCATTCACTGGCCACATTCGATAACTGACAGTGTGGAAGAGAACCGAAAACTGATGTAAACATGCAGGGAACTCGTCCTTCCCTTGATCGTTCGCGATATTGGTGGGGAGGAGAGGAGTACAGGACAACAATGTTGACCTTCACATGCTTTGTTGCAGGACGGCAAAGAAGTATCCAGTCGAAAATATACTCGACGGAGACCATGACATTCACTGCTTGTGGCGACAGCAACGCTGCTCCTCTTCACTCGCATCTGAAATTCTGGTTCCCTGACCAGTGAAGCTGCCATCCGTTTTCCAGGCGACCTTCCCCCTCGTCGGTGGATATGAGTTTCTATGATTGCAAGGAGATCGAAATGGCACCACTAAGCTCTACGGATGACGTGATCCAGCTTGCAGTCTCCGTTTAACATTCACACGTTTTAGCAGGCCATACGAATCTTCTTCTTGCTCATGTTGATCGGCTGGAGGTCAGATTTCTCGGCGTTAAAAATTCGAATCTATGGACATACGCAACTCATCGCACAAGTGTCACTAACCGTGTGAAGCAGTGAAGCGAAGGCTTTATACGACTGCTCGCGATGGCGAACAGACAATTCAAACTCAAATCGTCATGCTGTCCAAAAATTTTGTAAATGATTCTGTAGAAAATTACATCTCTATGTCGTTTCTGAGATGCACGTATGCTATATAAGACTTTTGTACTCTAAGAGTTCATACTGATTTTGTGAAGAACACGAAAATGAAAAACTGAGTTTCTAAAAAGCGGCAATTTTGCTGTCTCCGATACTTGGCCACTCTCAAGGACTTACGCCAGGAACGATGTTATTTAACGGTGATGTTCTTCACCAGTTTCACTATAAGGCATGATTGTGTATTCTGGAAAATAATGCGACTGTCTGTAAATCTTATACGACTTTTTAAAGTGCGTTGGTATGCAATACCAAGCAGATATTTATAACGTATATATAAACACCCTGAATCAAAGTCATTACATTCTCGGTTTTGAGCAATTTCGTCTCCAAATCGATAAACACAATCCAATAGCTTGGAGAAGCAGACAGACTCCCAAACGATCTCTCGTCACAGCTAATGACACTCGACCTTCGAAGAGATCTTGCGCCACTGTCCCCTACCCTTCAGATTCAGCTAATTTTAAACGGTTGGTTTCCTGATTGGTCGACTGATTGATATTCAACGGCATTTTAGAGAAATAAATATTTTTTATTTGAGAAGTGCGATGGAACAAACACGAAGTTCGAACGCAACACATCGCTGAGGTTGACTGACAGTGTCTAATGAACGGAAACGCCGAAATGTCAGCGGCGAACGGAAAGTCCACATTAATGACGGCATGACGGCGGCCAAACAACAACGAACTGAATGTGCAGTAAACGTAAATGTTGACACATTTAGAGTGGACAATTCATAACAAGTCAGGAGTGAATGAGATATTGCCTAGATTCTATTATCGAGACGTTCCATCCACGGAATGGCTCTGTTTACAGTCGTTATCTGGCTGAAGAAAAAGAGGAGTCAAACGACAAATACTGAATCAGTCCAAATTATTAACTGCTTATTTTTCGTGTACAGTCAGCATCGACAAAGACTGTCACGCAATTCTCAATTTCTTCACTTCCACACTCCCCCTATCAATAGGCATTTTCTCATCATCATTAGCGTTTTGCAACATCTTAAAAGTAAACGCTGTAGAAAACCAAGGTATACCTCATTATATACCTCTATCATAATGCTCCTTTCGTTGCAAACTGGCCAAGCTTTTTTATCCCGTCAACCTTGGGCTACTTTAACACAAACAAACAGCGTTATAGGTTACTTTCGCAATAGATGAATCGTTCCCTGACCGCATACTTTTAGGAAGAAAATGTTTTATTGGAGGCAGAACACATCGTAACAAAGAACACGCTCTTCCGCTCAAGCGAACAACAATGCTGCTACATATTCGTTCTCCCTTAGTCCAGACCATGACAAATGTATAACAGCTGAGACATCACAGCCACGACTTTTTCATTTCAGTGTACGACGTAATGTTGTTTCACATATTCGCTACGCTGTTCTCATGCTGTAGAATCATCTACGATAGAAAAAGCCATGAACAGCAAAGTTGGTCGACTATATGGTTGATGTCAGTCGCGGTTCAAGCAATGCTTCAGAGGTATTACTGATTCTATATTACTTCCAAAGGAAGTTTCCAGGAAATTAAGGCAATAAGAATCACAGTCTTTAAAACGTATGATCAATTTTTTCTTTTACTGTTTCAACAGTTTAAAAATTGCAGCGAACTCTAAGAAAGGATAAACCTAATGCACTTATTCTTCTGCCAAACTTTAACCTATTTAAATAGCGAGTTTTAATAACACCAGATTAATAATAAACAGTTCAGCCATAGGCGCCGCTGAGAGTGTAAATTCATTTGTTTTGTGAGATAAGGTTTTCTAATATCGTCCTGATTCTAGGTCTTCTCAGTTTATAGGTACGATAAAACCATTTTCACAAAAAAACAACCCCGATCTTATGGGTTTACTAGCATACTGCTAGTTTCCGATGCCGCCGTTAAGAAAAATAGCACTATTAACATATGTTATTAATATATCATTGCTATGAAACCATTCTGTCCCATGAACGACCGGCATATTTGTGCAAAGGAATGCAAGTGTGTGCGAAAAACTTCGGACACCACAATCTGAGAGATCCTCATTTATGAGTCGCTTCATTTGCAAATCAAACGATCCCAACAACGTTAGGCTTAAGCACGCATTGACTCGCACAAAAACTCTTTTAGCATTCTTTAAAGGCTGACTATCAAAATAACACAGCAATAAGAAGAAAAAATTTTGCATTGCTCAGATGTCTCAAATATCTGTCAATTAATAAATAACAGAAAAAGACTGAAGGGGCACAGAGGTGTTTGATAATTCTGAAGCAACTGCCTCCCAACTCAAAAAAATAACACCTTTCAAAATTAATGAAGAAATAATGAATACAAATGACGATGGCACCAGCTAATAAATTTGATTAATTAATTGATTGACTGATCGAAATAATGCAAGTGCAATCTTACGAAATTAACAACTATGAGGAAAAATACAGCCTTTCTTTCCTCTTCTTTAGAGGACTCGTGAAAACCAACATGATTCTAGAGATTACCGGTTAGAAAAACAGTCCAAAATTGACTAAGCTGTCGAATATGCAGCTCAAAGAAAAATGCTTCTCTCATGCAAACTGGCTGTACGTGTTTCAGAATGCCATATAAAATATGAAGATATTTGTGAAAGCGACCTCACTAGTTACGTGGAATATGATCTCTGGAAGAAAAGAAAACTTTCCAGGAAACTGGAAGCTGTTGCATAACACATTTGCAATATAACTATTTCTGGAGCACGTCTTTTCATGAAATATTTGGTGGGGCCCTGATCTCCATTTCCATGCCATCGGCCAGGAGTGCCTTATTTTAAAGGCATAATGCGTCGTCTCATGTTTCCTTCCAACAGTTGTATTCATTTATCAAACTCGCAAGGACGAAAGGCGGATCAGAGGTCCAGGCGAATCCAGGACTTCCAGGTTATGAGCGAATCCGATTAAACAGCTGCAGCTGCAAATATAACCTAATAAAACTTCAAAATATCAATTCAAACGGCATCAGGCGTCAATCATTTCATTTCATTACACTGTACGACTCTTACGGTCAATCTTTACTTGCTTAAAAGGCGAGAACAGCAACAACAACACTTACTGATACGATTCTGATGAGAGTTTGGTTAAAAATCCATGAAGCATTAAAAACTAAGGGATATTGTGTAGGGGCTATGAAAAACGCAAAAAATCTGCTGCTTCAGAAATAACTCTATGAAACCAGTAAACAGCACGACTCACTGAGAAAAGACCAATGGCTGATGAATCATCCGATATGGCATACGAAAGACAAATGTAGCCACTCATGTATGTACGCTGCATCACGACTCATTCCGACAAGTCAGAGGGGCCCGGAAAGATAGACCGGAAAGACGGTGGTGTCCGCGGGCTAACAGTTTCTCGGATGTTCTTAAGGCAATTTAGACATGAGAAAGACACGTGAAAAACAGAAATTGGGATGGAAGTTGAAAGGTCACTATTCCGAAAACAGCGTTATCCTTGACGGAAGCACTTCCTCTATCTACTGCCAGGAGAATTTAATATAGTACCTATTAACTCGATAATGTATTTTATGTCAATTTATAGTGCTGAAATCGTATAGAAACACGAATTACGTAAAAGTTTGAAAACAACAATCTTCGGTCGATAAGAAGAATGCGACAAGCATGTGATACAGCACACGCAAAAGCAAGCTTAAAAAACAGTTACCTCAGTCCAGCTGATTCAATAGAACAGTCACTCGGAATCGGCTTGAGTTTCTTCTTCTCCCAGCCTTCGGCGGTCTTGATCCATTCCTCGCCTGGAGCCCGCCAGTCGAGACCGATGAACGGCATACCGAATACGATCATACCCGCTGGATAGTCAGGTGATATGAAAAGATATTCAAGGTCGTCTGTCACTGAAAATCGTTTGAATCGTTCTTGTGAGTATGGCGAATCTCAGTGAAACATTGCAAGCCGGAAGACGGACAGCCAAAACCTACTTCTTTCACCTTTCAATAACTCGGTTCACCTAAAAAATTAAATGAGAGAAACCAAAAGCATGACATTTTACTACTTCATTCTTAAAGGTAATTTGCTATTGTCAAAAAATAAGTTTTTATTTAAGAACTAAATTGACCAATTATACTTCTATATGGCACTAAACTGAATATGGATGCTGAAAGTAATTCATATATACCTATATTAAGGACTGACAAGAAACGGTAAAATCTTGGATGCAAGTCATTTCTTTCGGCTTCAATCTTTATTAATCATCATCATCTTCATCTTCCATCGCCGCTACTCCTTTCAGGTCACAAAGGCAGACGCGTCAGACAGTGCTTCCAACGTTACCGATCCTGCGCCAGAATCTGAGCTTCGGCAAAAGACAAATGGAGTCTGGAACAGACTTCTTCCATATGTTGGGACCAAGTTAATCTTCTTGCACTTGGGCCTTCTGCCGGGTGGATTTTTGCAAGGAACACTGGCTTAGCCTTCCTTTCTGAAGGCACTCGCAACACATGCCAAAGCCATCGCAGCTGTGACTTCTCAATCTGGAGAAGCAAAGCCTGTAATCCAAGGCTCTTCCGGATGTCAGTATTCCGGACCATGTCGAGACGCGTAAGGCCAGCGACTCGT